TTTTTGTTAGATTAGTCGTATGTCCAGGCCTGTATTCATGCATAGCCAAAGCTTTAGTTCTGTACAAGGTAAAAAAACAAGTCATCCCTAAAAGTGTGTAACACAGTCTAACGAATGGCCAAGTCTTGCATGGAGATAGATCTGAACTTTCATATTTCTTTGCAAAGGCTGCATCCTTTGAAAATGATAAATAGGTGTAGTTTTTGTTAGATTAGTCGTATGTCCAGGCCTGTATTCATGCATAGCCAAAGCTTTAGTTCTGTACAAGGTAAAAAAACAAGTCATCCCTAAAAGTGTGTAACACAGTCTAACGAATGGCCAAGAAATATACTCTGTACAAGGTAAAAAAACAAGTCATCCCCAGTAACACAGTCTAACGAATGGCCAGGAAATATACTGAGAGCTCTGAGATAACAGAGAAGCCAGATTCATAAATCATTAATGAATATGTCAGGTTGTATGTACTAGGATGTATCACTGTTGGTGTTGCAGAAAACAGTAGTAGAAAGCTCAATTTAGATGTAATATATTCCAATATTTTCAGAGTTTTCCTATCTGGAAAAAAGTCAGTCCCGTCTATGCATAGCAATTTATAGTTTTACTAAGTTGTGGTTTGATTTTGTGGTTTGCAGTTCTACTTTATAATGTTCCAATATGCATTCATATAAAGTAGGTCCAGCTACTGTAAAAATTTTTACTTTGTTAAGTTTTTGCCAAGAACTTAAGTAAATTTCTAAAATGCAAACCAGAACAGCTAATCCAGGAGAAAAAAAAAAAGCTTTATAAAACTAGAAGCTTCTGAGAAATTCATATTTCCTGGCCTATCCCCTCTTTGGTGTGTTTTGCGTTTTTTTGTTTGTTTGTCAACTAGAAGCTTCTGAGAAATTCATATTTCTAGGCCTATCCCCTCTTTGGTGTGTTTTGGGTTTTTTTGTTTGTTTGTTTGTCTGGTTGGTTGGGTTTTTTTGGTTTTTGTTTTCCCAGGGATTGTAGAATCTGGTAACTGTCAGTCAGAAAGCAAGGTACTTTTTAAAAAATCTCTCCTACTGCCGTAACTGATGACTGCTGTATGAGGGATTATTATTTAAGTGCTGTTAAATGAATAGCTGCCTTGCACAAGAGGAAGTTGTTTAACGGAAGAGATTTTGAAGGCTGCATTATCTGTTTCTCTGTAAATCAGGGATTACTGGGGAATATAAAATGGCCTTTTCTTCTCTTCTGGATGTTTCTTCTTTTCAAGTTGAGATTCTTGGACTGTGCTTCCAACTACTGTGTAGATGTTCTTAAAGAAGTGCTTTCTGGGGTTTTGGACCCTTCTGCCTACACATCTGGTAAGGTGGTTAATTTGTAGGGCTTGGCTAGTTGATTTTGACATTTAGCACTGTCTTGCTGGGATCTCATGTTTCAGGAATGTGAGGTGGGAGCTAGTAATGGTGTAAGTCTTTGCTTAAAGCTGCCTAGAACTAAGTGAATAGCTAATAAGGTCAACATAATCAGCTCAGAGTGGAGGGGGTTGGTGGGGCTTTGCAGGGGTTTTTTGAGATTGTTTAATTTCACAAGATGCAACTTCTGATAAAATGCCCTTTCAGTACATCGTGAAACTATTTTCTTCTTAAAACAAAAGCAAATCAAAACTAGTTGTTTTTCTGCTTCAATACAGATGTTGGGGCTTTTTTCAGCAAGAGCAAATAGTTATGCCAGAACCAAAGAGACAGAAGTGCTGGTGGTTACATCAAGAGAGTTATAGTGATAAAGCATTAAGGTTGTCATCTCTTAACCGGTTATCTAAAAGGTAGCTGTATTGTCTCATCCAGTGATACCCGATCCCTTTATAAACAAGGGGAAAGAACATTCTGCTTGCTTCACTTAGATCCCTGTCATACAATGGGAGGTTCCTGTTTCCCTGTTGACTGTAGACTTGGACAATCAGACTAGTCTAAATTTCTAGTTTCTAAAGGCCTGAGTTTTTGCTAGGTGCAAAATGGGAGCAAACTAATATGTTTTGGCAACCTTCCAATAGAGAAAAACTAATACTAGATTCTCGCTTCCATCTACAATCTAAGCTTGTCCAGAAGTTGGAGAAGAAAAACTCAAACCCTCTGTTTGGATTTGCTTAAATCCAAACTGAAGGAAGGG